CAGTGCGATTTTCCCTAGGTGTCAGCCAAGGGAAAGACAGCCATAGGGAATGTGGCATTTGTTTCGGCATCCACAAGCTAGCTAACAGCTGTTGTCAGCGCTGATGCGCAGTGTTCCTCAGTGGATCGACAATACCGGCGTCGCACTTCCATAATTTACTCCCGATCTTCTGTATGATGCTTTACTTTTCGTCCGCTCTAGATGCTTAGGGTCTAATCTAAGGTGACTTTTAAATCTCGTTAGTTATGTTGGATAGATTTCGGATAGGGGACACTGCAACGCTGTGTATTCGCGGTTGGCCAGATAGAAGATGAAAACGACTGCTTTCAGTGTACTAAGCATCAGACACCAATTGCTGAAACACGTCTTTAGTTCATGATTGTCGCCCTGAAGAATTTTTTCTGCGTCAATGAATTTCTGTCATATGTTATTACTCGTTATTACACTGATGTATATGTTGATACGAAATCATTGAAAATGTCGTGTACTTGTTTTGCTCATGCTTGAACTTAAGGCATGTCTTCACTTATGTTGAGTTGATCTCGCACAGACGGGATTTAGTTGAATGGTAAACTGATGAGCTTTTCTGAAGGATAATAGCTTTTGAGTAATATAAGTTTTCCTGAATATCACTTCCTATCCATAGTGTAGAAGCATATTGCATCATCATCATCCTCTTTCTAGAGATGAATGCATGCAGTAATATTGAGTTCTCTGAAAGTTAATCGTTCTGTTGTCCTAAGTCAACAAATATAAATGCATACAACAGTATGAACGTCCTCATACTCTACAGTGCTACTGCGTTAATAGATGGTTGCAGCATTTCATATATCCTTATTCTTTTACTGACGACATGATTTATACTCTCCATTGGGTCAAAGAGAGCTTCAGGTACACACCTTGATCACTAGGTGTCGTATGTGGTACGCAACGACTGGTTGTTCTTCAGTGACAAACCTAACGAGCCTTTAATCATGCTGCAATATCAGATCTAAATATCGCATTTCAGTAAATGCATAACGTCGCGCAGATTCCCTAAAAAATGATTTGTTAAACTCTGTTAAACAATTTGTTACTGTGCAATATCGCTTAATGTTTTTGCGTTTCAGTTAATGCGGGCGAACTACTGCCTGTGCCCCCCGATGGTGGTTGGGGTTGGGTGATCGTGGCCGCAAGTTTTTTGGCCAACATGGTAGTCGATGGAATTGCTTATTCGTTTGGCATACTTTTTCCAGAGTTTCATGCCTATTTTGGCAAGGCGAAACAAGAGACAGCGTGGATTGGATCCCTGCTGACTGGCGTGTACATGTTAATAGGTAAGGAGTGACCAAAATGACATGAGTCAAAGGCTTCGTCTGAAAATTGTGCAAAATAGAAATAACTGTGTTAGTGACTAAGCCGAATATTACGTTGACTTTAAGAGCATAATTAATCGTTAATAGTTTGTATAACATTTTCAAAAAATGCAGTAGATGTTTGATTGATATGGAGGGTAAAGACTGTCTTAGCAGACTGTCATTTTCACGTATGATCAGTAGTCATGCCAGTAGAAGCCAATGCGTTTCGACTGTTCAAAATAGAGATTTTAAGGCGAAAGAGGACACCCTGTAACGCGCTTTGTCAGTTGTATGAATTCGTTGTTGAAAGCCATATTCAACTACCAGAGCTAGCAGTTTCTTTTGAACGGATGGTTTTGCGATATCGGAGAGCATTGCAATCGTAGCAAATGTATTTTCCATGATGATACCTTTTTCTTATTAAATTACACTCATTTCGTTTTCAGCAGGAGAAGAGGTTTCCTACAACGAACTACAGTACAACGATTTCACTCTGAACCGTGTAATTGTTTTAGGTCCTTTCGTGAGCGGCTTGGTGAACAAATTTGGTGCTAAGGCTGTGATGATCGCGGGTTCTCTTATCGCTTGTCTTGGCTTCGTCATTTCGGTGTTCGTGCGCTCGTTGCCACTGATGATGCTCTTCTACGGGATATGTGGCGGTAAGCGAGCAACACATGAATGGCTAGGATCCTGTGCTGTCCAGTTCAGCTCAGCGCGTTCCACCCACTGATGGTTATTACGCTATTACGTTTAGGCGTCGGATTCGGTTTCATATATTTGCCAGCTTGCGTATACGTCGGTTATTATTTCGAGAAGAAGCGCGCGTTGGCTACCGGTATCGCCGTGGCCGGTTCAGGTCTGGGTACATTCGTTTT